GGAGGGCGGGGCCGCTGAGCGTGCGGGTCGTAAGTGCGCGGTGCCCTCGGCCCTGAGCCCGCGGGCGGTGTGAGGCCGGAGGTCAGTAGGCGGCTGGGTTGCGGAAGACCTCATAGCTGTAGGGCAGCCCTTGGCACTTCAGTTAGAGGAAGGAGGAAAGCCCAGCCCTCTCACTTAATACTTGGGAAGACAGGCCGCCTGCCCAGACACTCCGGCTAACCCTTACCCTACTGATGGGCCCCCAGGGGTGGTGCGGGAAGCCACGGGAGACGCAGGGTGCCACGCCCCTGGTGAAAAATAGGACGATAGGGTGTCAGCAGCTATGCCTATCCAGACTTCCACTTCTGGGTGCTGGGGAGAACGGATGCCATTGGCACTGGCAAGGATAAAGGGTTATCTCTAGGCTAGGGCTTGGCCCCCGCCCCCTTGCATTTATTTGGATCTAGGGGCTCCCAAAAAAGGTATCTCTAATAGAGGTAGAGGTGAGCTTGACAGGATTTAAAGCTGCAAGGGAGGTTGGAGACTAGATATTTTTGTTCAAACAACATGACATAAACGAAGTGAAAAGTTTAAACGAATTTCCCACAGTCATGAAGCTGAGCAGTTACTTTTCTGGAAGACCTCAACTCCTGTGGGGTAATAATTGAGTATTCTAGGGCAAGGGTTTAGGTAATGTTTTTCAGTTTTGTTTTGTTTTTAATATGAGAGGAAGGGAGACATCAATTGGCTGCCTCCTGCATATTTCCTACCTGGGACTGAGCCTGCAACCCCGGCATGTGTCCTGACTGGGAATAGAAACAGAGACTTCTTGGTTCATGGGTCCACGCTCAACCACCGAGCCACACACCTGCTGGGCATCAGTTTTGTTATTTCTTCAGACACTGAGAAAAAGAAAAACTGAAAGAGGAAAATTTTATAACATCAATTATCCTATAGGCTAACAGCCTCACATACATATCAACAAGTTTATTTATACCTTCTCAAATTTATAACACCTAAATAACTTCTGTTCTCTACGGAGAGGATGAAGAAAGCCAGGACTGCGCCCCATTCTCTAGGATCTTGTCAGATGATTGGCTAATATAATAAACTAATAAAAATAGTAACTAGCATTTACTGAGCTCTTACTATGTTGTAGGCACAGGTGTAAAGTAAGCATTTTACAAGTATAATCCCATTTAGTCCTCAGAGCAACCTGATGAAGTAGATACTATAGTTTCCCTATTTGCAGAGGTAAAATGACTTACCAAAAGCCATACTACCAGCAAATATAGAGCCAAAATTATAAAGTCTTGTCTTCACAGCCTGCACCTAAATAACTTACCTAAAATCAGAGTAATTTAAGTGACAGAACTGGATCCTAAAGAGTGATGTTTATGTAGGTTGTACTTATAACTATTTACTATACTAGAAATTAAAACTGAGAAATTTAAAATTTATTCATTTTAAAATAACATTTTGTGTAAATATTTTTATAGAAAAATAACTTTTTCAAGATAACTTAAAAATCATAGAAAAGAATGATGTTGCTTCACATTTTCATAAATTTCTTTAATGTCTGGCTTAACAGAAAACCATTGGATTCTCAAATTTGCTTTTGCATTTAATCTATTACAATTTTAGTTTTGAAGTATATGAAGACAATCCAGCCTCACTCAACTATGTAGTTGGAGAAGGAAAGAGTAATTTTCATAGCTTTTTCAGGTAATTGTAGATATTCTTTTTAATAACTACACTAAAATTCAGCAAATGGTAGCTTTTTAAAAATTAGTTGCAATGTGAAATCTGAAAATATATCAATGAATTTTTTGTAGTACTCTAATACATTAAAATCCATTGGTCTACCTGGCACTTTAAATGGATCTTTTACCCATAAACTATTTATGACATGTGTTGGTGTCTTGGAAAATGCCAGTTCACTTGAGCTATGCAGTCTTCCAAATGTTACCAGATTTCATTATATATTTTTTAAAATTACCACCAATCTCAGAAAAATCTTTTAAGTATTGGAAAGCTGTCAAGTTCATAGCACAGCAAAGTTTTCCAAAATTCTTTTTCCTTGAAAAGGTCAGATTTTACCACTGGCAACAAATACTGTCAATTGTTTTCCTTGCAGTGACAAGCTCACTTTGTTTTTGTGGGGATTCAGAAGAGCCATCCCATGATGTGCCTTAAGTGGTATGTGGATTATTTTGAGCTAAAGGCAAAGGAGATCTTGTGGGCTCAAGAGAAACTTCTTCCCCCACACCCTTCACTATCTGGAGGACTTTGAATGGGAAGCCTTGCCCATAATAAGAGATTATCAGGGATAACCTTTTTGGACCTACTTATATGGTAGGACAAACTACTAATTACTGAACATGTGCTCTCCCTGCAATGACCTTCTGAAGCCCCAAGGTGCCTTCCCTGATTCCTACCTCAAATGTTTTATATATCCATTTTCCCTTTCTGTTTAAACCTGTCATGTATGTGTAGTTCCTATGCACACGAAAGTAAATTGTATTTTCTCTTGTCAATTTCTTCTTGTTGATTTGATTATTCAGCCAGCCAAAAGAACCAGAGGAAGGAAAGGGGAATTTTTCCCCTTTCCCATATTTTCAAGAAAAGTTCTGCCAAATACCTAATAGTTGCAATAGCAAGTCAAATAAAAATGTTCCATGAAAAAAAGAGTAGCTGGTTCAGTTACCAATTCAAATAATCAGTCAAGTGCTTTTTCCTCAAGAGACCAGCATACTTCAGAAGGTGGAAATGTTTTATGCATATTATTTTGTCATATAGAATATGAAAAAGTATGAACCTAGGGTTAATAAAATTAGTTTTTGCTGCTTGATGAAGAGTATTCTTAAGTGAAACTGGTACTGTTTTTTATTATGAATGCACAGCAGTGGACAATGACTGATAGTACAATTTGTTTCCACTGCCTTAATTCCTGCCTAAGGCGCCAGCGGTTTTACCCACCAGTATTTTGTATCA